GAGGCGGTGGTGCCCGCCCGCCGGCACTTCCCTGCCCGGGATGGGTGGAGGGAACAGCGGCTCCCGGCGGGAAGAGCCCCCGGGCCGGGAACGCGCCCTCGGGCAGCGCCGCCGGCACCGCGGTCTTCGCCCCCGAGGGAGTGGCTGGTAGCAGGCGCTCCGACTCTCAAGTCGGATTTCTCCGGATAAAGCGTCGTTTTAATTTCCTTTTATAATGCGATCTTCCAACGTTTATAATTGGAAACACGTAACACGCATGGCAATAAAACCTGTTTTGTTTTAAAGACAAGGAGCACGTCCAGGAGATGAAGAAAGAGCTCGATTCGCCGTTGCAAACAGCTGAGAAGGCGTTTGCAGTGGAGCTGCTGACGATGCCGGCTGCCAGCAGGAAAATGAAAAGGAAAGACTTGCTCGGTAAGTGTGCGTGGCCCTGTCCTTGCGAGGGGTGTGGGCAGGGTTAGGGCAGGATGTGTCCGTGAGAAAATCTGTAAACTCGGAGACTTTTATGAACAAGTTTGCTTTGTCTGGTGAGTATTTTAAGCTAATCAGCAGAGCTGTTACCCTGCAGATGGTCAGTAAGCACTCTTGTTCAGGTAGGCTGGTCTGTGTAATTCAGGGTAGAGAATTAGTAGGTAAAAATGTATAGTCTGGAGCTTTTTCTACGTATGCTCTAAAGTCTTATTTAAAGTCTGAAAATACCAAGAATAATTACAAACCTAGTGCTTTCTCTGCATAGAAACATAAGCACTTCTGTCCATCTGAATCTCTTTATCCCGGCCATAGAGATTTTTTTAGTTTTGTCAATTTGAAGCCATTACTACTGAGCCTTTCTCAACTAGTCATTTACCTGTGATGATGAGCAAATAAGTTTAATTTTAACTCACATGTGTGCAGCAGTTTAAGATGTGGTGTATACTCAGCCTCAGATGTATATTTGGGTGAGAACTGATGTTTTTGGAAGCGACTTTGCAGCTGGAAATTGCAGGGGCCAACAAATATCAGACCTAAGACTCGTGAAGAACTTACGTTTACTGTAAGCCTGAGTATGTATTTTGGTGTTTTTCTTGAAAAACTTCTGCCTAAAAGCATTAGATTTCTGCAATACAATGTGTCTGTGTGATTCTTCTTTGAATTTAAGTTATATACTGTGTGACTGCACTCAGTATCCTTTCAAAGATTAAACATACTGAAATTTTCATTGTTTTGTAGGATGACTACAAAAAAAATGCAACATATATGCTAGCTAAGGTTAACTATTTAAGCCACTGTAATCCTGAATTACTTGTTCATCTTCAAGGCCTTAAGATAAGAACTTGAAGATAAAAATTATGCAAGTAATAGTATTTAAACAAGTTACACTTTCTTGAACTACAGATTTGCAAGGAGGGGGGGAAGTGGCTCTTACTGCTGCAGTGGTAAGTGTGTGTTTTCAAATTTTATCACAGCTTACAGAATAGAATTCTCCTCTCCCTGCTGTAAATATTTCAGACAAAATATTTTGTTTGGCTGCGTGTTTAAAGACTAGAGAGCCAGCCAGTGCAGTTATGAACATTACCTAAACTTTTAGGGTCATCTGCTGGCAGAAATCCAGATGTTCATGCAAAAATAAACTGGTGTTTAGCCAATCCCACTTCTGTCACTTGCTTCCATGTGCTTTTGTGACATAATATTTATTTACCGGGCAAAATCTGTTGACCTCCCCTTGTTGGATAAACACTATCTTTTAGACTGGAAGGTGTTTAT